TTAGTATTTTCAGAAATTAAACACAATAAACATAGACATTCAAATTTGCCCCCTCCCAAACAAACGAAATTATAGACTCACTGACACCTTAAATTTCTGACATTCTAGATGTCAACTAAAATGTAAATAGTCTGCATTTTTTCGTAGTCCCAGGTTCCTCCTTGAATATGATGGATATATTTTTTTTCCACTGAGAAGCACCATGCTTTCCTCCTGTTTTACATTCTGAAGATGTTGCCTGTATGGTTGAATTGCAAGAGCTCTGGATATAGATTGAGTCAACCAATAAGCTTTAGGGCTGCTGCCAGACAACTTAACTTAGTTCTTTCCTGCTCTTTAGGGTCTTTCTATCAGAGAGCTGTCTGAGTTCACTGTGCGTCAGTAGCCCAAGCCAATACCTTGGCCGCAGTAGTTTTTATTTATTTTCCCCTTGCCCAGTTTATTTAGGCCTAAGCCGATTTTTCTGTTCCAAGGGCCTGCGGACTTATGTGTCCAATTGCATGGTTTCTCTCTAACACCTAGAAAGTAATCCTACTTGCTAGATCAGGTAATCATCAAATTGAGGGCAAATCTGCTGAGTAAATTTAATCAGATTAGTAGTGCTTCCATGAAGGAACAACAGACATTGGAGATTTTTAAAATTTGGAATGAATTGCTAGGTGGGAAAAATGACATTAAATAAATTCTATTTAAACATATAGTTGAATAGCAATTATAGTGGATACATGAGCCAGTGATGTATCTTTGGCATAATTATAATTATGAATTTTCTAAGTATGTTATAAGTTTAAAAGTAATAATTTTTCAAGGTTTTATATTCATGAGTCAAGTAAATTAAATAGTTGAGTTTTGGGGGGGAAAATTCTGCTGCTTCCCCCCCTCCAAAAAAAGAAGAGCTTATTTTGTAATTATTATTATTCTGTCTAACAAAAAAATGTGTCAATGTGTTAAGACATAAATCAGTCTCACATTTTAAGAGCTTACAATTGAAGGCCACATACAATTAGCAACTATCTGTTAAAAATAACTTAAGTGACATTAAGAGAAGAACCTTCTCTAAAGTAATCATAAAGGAGAGCAACGCTTTCAGCTCTTTGAAAAATTGACTTCTCTCATGGCTGGGCTATAGCTGAGCAATTCAAGGTAAAGCTCCAGCTGGAGTGATCTGAAATGATTCTGCTGTTAAGGACACAACAACTAAGTTAATTTTAAAAGGAACTTTGAATGAATACTTTGTTCAATAGTAAGGTATAAAGAATACTGCCAATGCACACAAGTTGGACAATTAGCAAACTGTGTCTCTTTTGAGTAGCAATTTATTGAACTGTCTTCATTTTGTGCCCTTAGCTGAGCCATAAAGTTTTGTTTGAATGCAGAATTGGAAATCAAGGAATTCATGCAAGCATATAGTATTACTTTAACAGGTTGAAACAGATACAATTTTATTGGTTGGCTGGACTTAATAAAGGCAGGAGCTAACTATTATTTTTTTTCTGATGTAAAACTCATAGTGGCTCTCTGAATTCACTCTAATGATCAGCTGTTTTCATTTGGAGAAAGGAGAGAGAGAGAAAGAGAGAGAGAGAAGTGCAATATACACATCAAATAGAAATCAAGAGGGAAGGGAAATCAGTTCTGAAGGATGAAAACAGAGCTTGACATTCCAAGCCTAGGACACAAACTTTTACCAGTGATTTATTCCACTTTTCATGGCTTAACAGGAAACTTTTGAATTGAGTTTTATTTAAATTGTTTTAAGACGCTACAAGATTTCTTTATATATAAAGCAGAGGCTGTTCTCTCTATAAAGAGATAATTGGCATGTTTTTACAGTGTTGTTATATAAACACAAAACTATTTGACCAATCTATCAGAGTGGTTTAAACTGTGCTACTGAAATTGGAATTGTAGAGGGGACACTACATTTAGTTTGTGTAGAGATAATAATCTTATTATCATGGTTCTCTACATGCTATGTATTGAATGATGGCTATTAGTAAGTCAATTTTTCTGTGAATGTGGAGAGTCATTTCAATGTAGCTGGACTTATTCAATACTATTTCAAGAGGAATTAAATACAAATCCTGGGGTTTGCACCAAGTGGCATAAGCTGTATTCAGAAATCAGTGTCTATCTGAACGTATTTATGATGTGTGATTACAGATAATAAACTACCTAGAATATGTTTTCATTCCCTCTCTATCTTTCTCTCTGTCTCATGGACACACACACACACACACATTTCCTTTATCCTTCAAGAGTCCTTTCTATCTAATACACAGTAGTCCTTCCAGAATGTTGTTTTCAGGGTTCATGCCATCAGCCTATCTTTATAGATCAAAACATTTGTTAACAGATTCCCTCAGGAATTGAAACTAATGGTCTGTCTTATACCAAAATTCACTTAATAGCAAATAAAGTTAAAAGAGTTCCTTGTCTTGCTTTGTATTTTAATATATTCTCACTTATATGAATATTGCATATTTGTAATATTCTTTTATGTGAGAAGATACCATGAAAATGTATTTAATTGTTATGTAGAGCCGATAAAAGGTAAGTAGTATCACCAGAAAGATATGTTTATTTGGAATCTATTTTTAAAAACCTCCGTCTCAAGGATGATTTGATATTTCCAGAGTCATACACACACACACACATGCACACAATAGATTAGATTGTACTTTTGTTTCTTAGCATTTTTGATCTCGTAGGAAAATAAGAACTAATTGTATGCATTTCTTAATATTTTTCAAAATTATTCAGAAAGATTTGACTTCATCTATGACTTTCTACAGTGAGCCTAAAGAATTTCCTGTTCAAAATTTTGTTTTGGGTATAGATTGATTTACTCAATGGATAGGTACTATTACCACAGTCCGATTTTCACAAATATAACTGACCTCCTGGCTTTTTAAAAATTAATTAGCAGTATAGTTTAAATTGGATAAAATAATTTTTATCACAAACATTGAATTTCTATAATGTGTCTGTATTCAGAAATCAGTATCTATCTGAATATATTTGTGATATTTGCCACCCCAAAATGTGTCTCTTTGATATGAGAATTATTTTGGCTTTTTATTTTTAAGAAACAGAAGACTCAGGAAGTCTTCCTTTCACCTCCACCTTAAGCTGCCTAAAGAATTAGATAGAGGAGCCTGTGGCAGGAAGTGAACTATCACCAGAAATGTCTAGGGAGAATACGGGCTCAGTGTGGCAGGGGGACTCAGCAGGTGTGCTGCTCTGTGTCCCATTGCCCCTGCAGGGCACAGCAAATACTTGTTTACCACACATTTGCTTTTCCATCTTCACGCGAATCTCCTTCCTCCCCTTTGAAGTCTCAGACCACTATACCCAACATCCTCTATTGTCTTCAGCTGAAAATAACATGTAAGCTGAAGACTTCAGCCATGTTGGTGAATTACTCAGTTTTCCTGGGTCTTTCACATGTACATGTCATTAAACTTTGTTTTTCTCTAGTTAATCTGTCTCATATCAATTTAATTCTTAGACCAGCCAGAACATAAAAGCATAGAAGAAAGGTTCTTTTCCTCCCCTATGATACCAACTGTAGAAATATATTAGAGTAGATGTTTGTTTTACAAGTTACAGTAAACATTATAAAAGCTATTATGTCAGCAAGTGAATGAATATGTTTAAAGTATTATTAAAGTGATATCTTTGGCTCTTCTTTCTACAACAACTTCCAAATATAAGAAAGTCACTCAGCTCTTACTGTTACAATATTTTTTCTATTGTTGATCTAAAACAAATAGACTGCCAGTTATTTCTCCAGCAAAAATGAGTTCATTCGCAATCAACAAAGAACTACAATTCAGGGTCAGGAACCATGGAAAGCCACACGCAAGTCCCCCATAGGAAGGAGAGGAGACCTCTTTTAAACAGGGGAAAGGGAAGTGGAAAGGGCTATTAAAAAAGAAAAAGAAGAAGAAAAAGAATCCATTGGAGGAACTGAGAGTTCAAAGTACAGTGGCTTTTCATTAGCCAGGTTGTGAGAGTCTCTCATTGGCTGAGCTCTTGCCAGGCAAGGGAAGTTCTTCTTCTTCCTGTCGGGCTTGGCTGTCGTCAGAAGGCTTGAGAGCTCCCCCAACTGATCTCTCGGTTCTATTTTAATCGGAGTTTCTGTTTTTTCATTTTTACACCATCCATCTTCTTTTTTTCAATCGCCTTTTCCACTCTGTCAATTTAGATCTTTGCGACCTCTCCCCTACCTCTACTCTCTCTATTACTCAACATGTATTCCTCTTCATTATTAAAATCACTATACATGAGAGCTTTGAGCATCCTAGAAATATGAATCTTGCTTTTCTAAAATCTTCAATTATTCCACACTGCTTTTTAATTGAGCAGCTCTCCTCAACTTAGCACTTAAGGCATTCCAAAATGCAATCTCAAATTACCTCTAGTAGTGATTCTTTCTTAACCATGGACTGTCATTAATAAAAATGTGCATATTCATATATGTGCAAAGAGATGCATATAATTTTATGCACAAACTTTAGAAAAATACCCCTGCTCTACACCCTCATATACTGCCAGTCTGCTACACACACCTTAAATTCCAACCATGTTAGACCATGAACAACTTGAGGACTAATAGTATCTATGCAAAAACATAGTCTCATTTATACCCCATGATACTATCCCAAAAATCTCCAAGTAACTTGGCTTCTAGAAGGTCTCCCTTAAAGTCTTTCAGAATCTTTTCTTTCTCCTTATCTGCCCCCTGTTACCTGTTACTTGGATAACCTGGGAAACATTTGGGGAAGATAAATGTCATTTTTCAGATTTTAGTCTCTGTCATTCTTCCTAAAGTAAATTATTTCATTCTGGTGGGAAATAATTTTTTACTAAAGAACTTGGATTGTACCCATCTTGATGAACACAGGCTTCAACTGTATTTGAATTTGATGTCTATTTGATGCATGTCAACTCAAAAGGCTGTTCTAAGATTTTTTTTTATTTCTATTTTCCAGGTTTCTTGAGCACAGGGGATCAGGCTGCAAAAGGAAACTATGGACTCCTTGATCTCATACAGGCTTTAAGATGGACTAGTGAGAATATTGGATTCTTTGGTGGTGATCCCTTAAGAATCACTGTTTTTGGATCTGGCGCTGGGGGTTCATGTGTCAATCTGCTGACTTTATCCCATTATTCTGAAGGTAACCGTTGGAGCAATTCAACCAAAGGTATTATGCAGGTTGCAAATTTTGACAATTTTGGTGTCTGCATGCCACCACCATCAGTAGTATGTGATGCTCTGTATATATTTCTCTGTGCAAACTAAGTGTTAGGTTGAACTCAATAACTGTTTAAAACTTTGTTTTTTCAGCTTCTCTATGCATGTTGAAATTTTTGTCAAACTCTTTTCTTTGTCTCCTGCAGAGCTTGGTATGGACGCCCTTTCAAGCACACTTCAGAACAGTTAGCATTACAGTTACTTTTCTTTCCTCCAAAGGGTGATTTTGGGGAAACTCAAAGACAGTCACAGTTCTGTCATCTCTGTTTATTCAGTAATCACAATCAAGGACAAGTTTTATTTTTAATTTTTTTAATGCAGGTCTTGTATGCATTCTAATTTCAAGATAATAGACATTTTAAACCCTTTAGTAGTATGAAGATAAGGGAGCAGCTGTAAACTAGTTTGTCTGGAAATGTGATTTTCATTTGTTGTCTGAGTAAAGAATGAATGTTTGATTATTTTGCATGCATGATCCAAAATTGTCAAAGCATGGAGGTCACTAGAAGAGTTTTGACTAAAAAGAAAGATATATTTGAACTTGTGCCTTTTCTATTTTCAACTGCAAAAGTGTTCATTTTTCCCCCTGAAGACTGACAAAGCAGCATGGAGCACTGAGGCTGCTTAAATCCATGAAATATTGTTCTTGTCTCCATTTTCTGGCCTTGATGTCTTTTTTCCAAAGTGCCCACCCAAGACTCATCATGTTGGTCTTTATGGACTCCCATTTTACCATAAGTGTAGTCACCCATGCTGATTGCATTACTAACTGGAAATGTCCACAAGACAGATGTGTTTTGTTAGCAAAATCTGTAAAAGCACATACTTCCTCTCCATTTTATATACATAATAAGCAGGAAGATGGAGAATATATATCAACATAGACCATCATGTATTTTCTGTTTTTTTATTGTCATTTTATATATATTAAGAAAGTATGCACTGTCGGTTGTAATTCATGAAGCATCTTCATTTGTAAGACTGAGTTTTATGATATGAACACCAGACACAGAATGTTTGTTTTTGGTATCAAAGACACATTAATGTGAAATTTCAAAACAACAGTCAGTCATTAAAAGAGTATATATATTTGGAGAATCATATTTTATTATAGACTTAATTTATAGATACAGTAACGTCTCATTTATACTAGTAGAATTCTGATTCAAGATGACAAAATGACACATATATGAGAACATTTCCAATTGTACAGAGATTTTAGTCTGTAGTGAAAGGGCTTATTTTGAACTAACATAGTTTGTTGTTGTTGTGTAATAGAACAGATTAGATTGTTCTAGCCTGAGGACTAGCCTAATGCCATGTTATATTGGTTAACATTAGACAATCTGTTCAGACTTCTTAGGGTCATTTAGTCTCAAGCTATTTCTGCTGATTTTTTCTAAAACTTTTTCTAAATGTAAAGTGAAAATGAGCACCAAAGCCGTTTTCAGCCAGTATGAAACTAACATTGGATAAAGAGATGAATGAATTAGTTCATCAGCTAGCATTGCTATTCATCAATCTGTGATGTGGGAAACATTGGCAAAAATGGCTGGCTGTGCAAACAACTGAAAATACAGGATTCCATCACAGCCTTCAAGGAAATCTGTCCATACCTGCCTAGATAAATGGACTCATATTTGGTCTAATCCTAAGTTTATCACCACTAACAAAGCTACCTAATTTGATCAGAAGATGCTCAAAAGAGGTCTTGAAATCATTGGATTAATTCGGTCTCCACTGCAGACATAGACTTTAAAGTCTGGCAACTTCCCAGGGCTGCAGCAATCCTCAGGCCTGTATCTACCAGGAGTCAATCACACATAACAAGCACTATCCCTAAGGATAAAATACATTGTTTTCCAAATATCATCCAGATGGGCTGTTTGAGACAATCTTGAACATGATGTGTATTTGCCTTAAAATCTTTTTTGGTATATTTAGTTAATGTCAGTAAGTCCCTAAAATGGGAAAGAATCTTCTAGAAATCACCAGGTTATTTTAGTTGTGAAGTTTTTAATTAGTAAAATAGTTCTCTGAGCAAATGTTGACAAACACATAGCCTATATAAATTTTTTTAATTATCTGTATTTATATTATTTGCTTTGGCAAACTTTGCTCTAGCAAATGAAAAATATGTTCATAAAAATGTCAGAAAGAAAACAAATTTAAATTAGTACTGTTTGACTTTTTGAATATTTTTAGAATTATCTGGGAACATATTACAGACATTTTGAACACATATACACATTTGGAGAAAAAATGAAAACTTTGCTTCTAATTCAGACATTGCTTTAACACCTTTGTGAAAAGAGTTCTTACACACTAATACATGTGAATAATTGAGCATGTGTTTGAATAAATGAACTAAAAAGCCATATTTGGAAATTAGTAATAAATGTAATTTTTGAAAAAAGATAAATCATATTTTTAAACAAAAATTTTATTAGAAAATATCTTAATGAGTAAAGTTCATTTATAAATTTGAATGGCATGCAGCTCTTATCAAACTGCATATGGGACCATGATTTACAATTCTTAAATGCAATTAAGTGAAAAGCAATGGACCATGTACTTTTCATCTTTTATGATAAAATATAGCAGTGCACATTCAACAGTGAAGAAATCATCCCCCACTAAATCCTCTGCTGATGGTGTTTTCTTTAACCTAGCAAAAACACTTCAAATGTTTTGTCTTCTTCTGAAAGAAAAGTATTCAGCATACTATGTCTGACATGAAGAGCTGGAAAGAGTATGTCTAAAGTGATATTCTGTTTTGTGTGCTGTTAGGGCCATCCCCAGGGTTTTAGCAAATTCCAGCCCCCAAGTTATGTGAGGTCTCAACGATTTTTCCAAATAAAATCTGATTAAAACAAACATACAGAGCCATTTTGAAGAAAGATGCGTATAGCCAAACTGGAGGAAATATCCTCAAAAGACAATACAAATTCTGATAAAGAGTTAAAAAGGAGAGAGTTGGCCTCATCTGGTTGGCTATGATAATAACATAGGTGTTTACATGATGAGCAAAGAAATATCAGGGGCTTTTTACCACTAGTATTTACACAGTCTCCTTCTCTCCTTTCTTATTGCCTTCTTGAGACACTGCAGATTCGACCTCTTGATCCCTAGTAGTTGCTACTCAAAGCAGAAGACTTAGGTTCAACTCTTTAATTCATTATATCCTGGGGATGACCTTATGTACCTTCTCCTAAGCAGAAATGTCTCTATCTCCCTGTTTCTTGAGTCATATCTGGGTTTTTATACACATGTCTAAAATACCAGATTTTATTGTTTTACCATATTATTCAAAGGTCATCTGAAACTTTGTTGTTTTTCCCATAGGTCTTTTTCAACGAGCAATAGCTCAAAGTGGAACAGCCCTTTCCAGCTGGGCTGTTAGTTTCCAACCTGCAAAATACGCTAGAATGTTGGCCACAAAAGTTGGTTGCAATGTTTCAGATACAGTAGAGTTAGTGGAATGCCTACAGAAGAAGCCTTACAAAGAACTTGTTGACCAAGATATTCAACCAGCACGATACCACATAGCCTTCGGACCCGTGATTGATGGTGATGTAATTCCAGATGACCCTCAGATATTGATGGAGCAAGGAGAGTTTCTCAACTATGATATAATGTTAGGAGTTAACCAAGGGGAAGGGTTAAAATTTGTCGAAAATATAGTAGATAGCGATGATGGTATATCAGCTAGTGATTTTGACTTTGCTGTTTCCAATTTCGTTGATAATTTATATGGATATCCTGAAGGCAAAGACGTTTTGAGAGAAACCATTAAATTCATGTATACTGACTGGGCTGACCGTCATAACCCTGAAACCAGAAGGAAGACATTATTGGCTTTATTTACGGACCATCAGTGGGTGGCACCAGCTGTAGCTACAGCAGATCTTCACTCAAACTTTGGTTCACCTACATACTTCTATGCCTTTTACCATCATTGCCAAACAGATCAGGTTCCAGCTTGGGCTGATGCAGCTCATGGAGATGAGGTTCCCTACGTACTAGGAATTCCCATGATTGGACCTACAGAGTTATTTCCTTGCAATTTCTCCAAAAATGATGTGATGCTGAGTGCAGTCGTAATGACATACTGGACAAATTTTGCTAAAACTGGGTATGTACCTAAGGAATGAATGCTATAATTTAATAAAAGCATCCTTTTAAGCACTTAAAAAACACATATTTTGTGCCCACATGATTTAATTTAATAGATTAATACCAATAATATGTTAAGTTCCTTTATTCAAAATTCTTTATTTGTGGTGTTTCAAAAATCATTGCTTTATTAGTTCTTACTTGGTAAAGTTTATTAAGAAAGGCTTATATCTTTATGGTATTACTCAATAATTAAATTTATTTTGCTTTTTAATTACACAGGACTTATTGTTATTCAATAGTGACAAATATTATTTTATAGAGATTTTTATTTTATAGTACTGAAAACCTTTTGATCCTTCCAACTACCTTGTGAATTGTGAGGTAGGCAGGTCAGGTACTATAATCTTATTTTTCAGAAAAGAAACCTTAGGCTTTGAAAGCTTCATATAGATATTCACATGTGTAGGATATAGCATTACCAGGAATCAAATTCTTATCTTCCAATTCCAAATCCCAAGTTTTTCTGTGGCTGTCTCTGCTAGTGGGCCTGTGAGACAACTCATATGTATATGAATTTTTAAATCTTTGGCTATATAGCAATTCAAGGGCAGAGAGAATAAGAATGTATGGTTTACTTGCATTACATTATCCACCTGCCTGCGATGGGATTTATATTTCTAAATTGACCCAAGTTGTGTTAAAACACAATTTAAAGCCTTGCTGAGTTACCTCTTCAATTAGATGTTCAACTAGTACGATTTTGACTTAAAAGAATAAGACATTTTTTTTCTCATAATTTCTCCTTTCTTTTCTAGTGACCCAAATCAGCCAGTCCCTCAAGACACAAAATTCATCCATACCAAACCCAACCGCTTTGAAGAAGTAGCATGGACCAGATATTCCCAGAAAGACCAACTCTATCTCCATATTGGATTAAAACCGAGAGTTAAAGAACATTACAGAGCCAATAAGGTGAACCTCTGGTTGGAGCTGGTACCTCATCTGCATAATCTCAATGACATTTCTCAGTATACCTCGACAACAACTAAAGTGCCATCAACTGACATCACTTTCAGACCCACAAGAAAAAATTCTGTACCCGTCACATCAGCCTTTCCCACTGCCAAGCAGGATGATCCCAAACAACAACCAAGTCCATTTTCAGTGGATCAAAGGGACTACTCCACAGAGCTGAGCGTCACGATTGCGGTTGGAGCATCACTGCTGTTTCTGAACATCTTGGCCTTTGCAGCCCTATACTACAAAAAGGATAAGAGGAGACATGATGTTCACAGGAGATGCAGCCCTCAGCGCACGACTACCAATGATCTGACCCATGCACAAGAAGAGGAGATCATGTCCCTCCAAATGAAGCACACTGATTTGGATCATGAATGTGAGTCTATCCATCCACATGAGGTGGTTCTTCGGACCGCCTGCCCCCCAGATTACACACTAGCTATGAGGAGGTCACCTGATGATGTTCCTTTAATGACACCTAACACCATTACAATGATTCCCAACACTATACCAGGGATTCAGCCCTTACACACATTCAATACATTTACTGGAGGACAGAACAATACTCTGCCCCACCCCCACCCTCACCCCCATTCACATTCAACAACCAGGGTATAGCCAGATAAGAGAAACAAACTCTATTTTTTGATGGACTGCAGTAAAAGAGTACTGAAGATTCCTTGGCTTTCAACCTACAAGACTCTTACTATTTAAATAAGGAGGAATATTATGTGAATATACATATCAAGAACTTCGGGGGTTTTGAAAAAATTGAATTGTACATATATACACAAATCAACTTTAAAAACGAATTTCAATTGCTCGAAGCAATTGTTCTGAATGATACTTTTTCATTCACATTCAAGAATTAATTTTTTGAAGATTTATGTTACATAATGGAATTAGGCATGTGGAACATCAAACAGGAAAGAACTATGTCTGAAATATAAAAAATAAAAATAAAAAAACAACCATGAATATGCACAAGGGACACACCAATGGAATGTCAGATAATTTTCACCAGGTTTTATTTGGAGCAGTTTTATTGTGTAGACCATATTTACATATTTGGATAAGTACACAAAGCACCAATGCTGTTAATGGCCTTAGCAGAGGCTCATGCTGAAATTTGCCAGTAAAACAAAGAAGTTTAAAGACTGGCAGGTACAACATTATCACATAAGTGCTGTCAGTATAAAGTTGTGGGGATAAAGGAAACTGGATATTTTTAGCACGATGTGCATGATAATTTATATGCTTGGTGGCTGTGCTGCTGATTAAGCCGTAATTAAAATCCTTCTCATCTCATTGGAGTTTTTAGTAGACGCTTCCTCCATCAATTGGCAGAACCTAAAGAAGATTTTAAGGGGCAAAAGTAATTACAATAAAATAATTCACAGTAGTATTGATAATAGAAGGAGTTAGTTATTAAAGGTATTTGAAGAAACTATAGGTATAGTGGTGAATACTCGCTGATGTGAATCCCAGAAAAAAATTTCCCGTGTTTTTAATGTTCTTTTCATTCCCATCTAAATAATTTAGAGAAATAGAACCCTAATTGGAAATGTGTTACGGGATCTATAATTTGCTGTGCTTTTTGTTACTCTGTGTTTTGTTACTTTTGGTAAGGTGAAGTGTGTCCAAAGAAATTACTTGCAAGTCTTTATTATGATATGAGGATGCCCCAAATTACCACTCTGATTACAGTTCTCAGTTAATTGATTTACTCATGTTGCATGACAAAATGTTTACTACTAAGAATTCAGTATAAAGTTATGTCCCTCCTCACATCATTTATCTTTCTTACTGAGGTTCATTCATTCACTGGAATTTACTCACACAATCTCAGTAGAGTGCAACCTAGATACAGACCTAAAAGGGGAGTCAACATCTGGAGGATTTTAGTCTTACACGTACGTGTGATTTTAAGTGAATATTCTAAGACCACAGGAAACTCTTCATTCCCTTGTTGTTTACCAGTAACAGTATATCACAGACCTTTCCAAATGTTTGTATATGTAATCAGATGTACATTTATATTAAAAAAATTGAGATGGACTTAAAGAGCACATCCTGATAAATACTTTCTCTCTTACCTGTACTATATTTCTATTAGACTAAAGTTATGTGATTTTTTTTTACATTTTTTCAGATGACTAGCAATTTTGATAGTTTGTAAGATAATGCAAAGAACTTTCTCTGACAAACTAACTGCAGTAACAGAAACCTTTCTTTTCAGTTACTCTTTTTCAAGAATGAAAGCTTATTATATGAAAAAAAAAATTGTATACTACTTGATGGAAACAACTTTGTACATCTTGGCCATGTCACTGGTCATTGCGTGAAATAAAGATAATAATGACTATTAGTCCAATGCTAAGAGACATGATCTTTGCTCATTAAAGAGCTAAAATGTTTATTGCTGTTTTGTCTTTTTTTAAAAACACAAACAAACAAAAGGAACATGACTGTCTCAGAGAGTCATTTCTCTAGACCAGTCGGGTTTTTGAAGACATACAGGTTAACTTCTACAGAAAACACATCTGTTTTTAAAAGCAAGTCTCATCTAAGATGAAACTGATGAAACTTTAATGTTATGAATTTATAAGCCCAGGGACTCCTGGAAAATATTAGCATTGTGTTTTTAAATACCTCTTACATGAAAATGGTGTGGAAATAAAATGTGCCAGTTGTTTTCAGTTAGAAATACAGGTTCCAAGTTCCAATTCTGATCATCAAAGAAAAGGTCTATTGAAAATAAATGTGCAGTATATATGAAATCAGAATAGCTAGATTCCAAAAATAAGGCTGATTAAGTTATCATAAAGTAGTGGATAAAAAGTTATCCTTCTAAGAACATTTAAAAGTGCTGAGCAAGACATTAAGCTAACTCTAAAAAAAATCTCCTATTTCGAAGAATTTATTTACTTACAACTCCCCCTCCCAATTATTAACTGTCAGTAAAACGTAGATACTGCTCCTTAACTTCAAATAAGTATCTCTGTTAGAAGCAAAACGTCTTCAAAATCCAGAGCGGTCTACATGCAGTTTTGCCTGATGTGGTTATGCTTTTAGACTGTGAACTACCAATGTAAACCAATAAAAAGAATTGTCTAGCATCTGAAATATTGTTTAATCAGAAAACTGTCTTTTAGTATATTGATTAAATAAAAGATAAAAACAGAAATAGAAATGAAAACAAAATAAGAAATAAATGAAGCCTTTCATATGCATTAATTCACTTAGCAAAATCATTCTGTCGTATTTTAATGATGGCCATATTTGTATCTATGTACGTATATGTTGCTCTAAATTTATCTATCAGTCAATCTACCTATCTAGACCACAACTGACATCTATTTTATATTAATTTAGGAAATAATTTAGGAAAACAAAGCATAGCCCTATTCTTTTTATTTTAATTAATATAGCATCAACTTTGTGGGAGATAAGGCAGTTCTAAGTTTTATTGCTGTTTCCAGTCGTGATAAAGTCATTGCAAATGAGTGTTAGTTGCTAGTTTTATAATTATGGCAGCTAGTTTTCTGAATGTAAAATGATGTCCCACAATAAACAGAACATTCAGAATTGTTTTTAAAGCTGAAATATAAATTTTAAATGCAAGAAATATTTTGAATATTGTTATTAAATTTTACCCTATATGCATTTATTTAGATGAAAATTTTCTTCAGGAAAAAATAGTGCAAAAATTAAACGAATATCTTGTCATTACTTATTAATTCAGATTTTCCTGCCTCAGATGAAATTGCAAATAGTCAATGCTGCTTAGAATTTAAATAAACATTAAGCCAAAATTGGCTTTATTTCATTGTCTTGCTATTATATAAAAGTATTGCCAAATGTTTGTCAGCAGATTAATGTTGTTTTAGAGCATGGGATTCAGCAATATAAAAGTGACAGTTTTCATAGTTTTAAATTTTTATTGAATATGTTGACTGTGAACAAAACCTAGTTGACTGCTACAAATGTTTCATGAGTTTTATTATTATTAACTTTAGGAATTTGGAAAGTCATTTGCTAAAGCATTAAAAATATCTGATTTGAGTTTAGAGACATCATGCTAATAGTTCAAAGCAGAAAATTTGCATATAGATTATTTCATTCTTAATTTCAAATTTAAAGGTTGACCATAATGATATTTTAATTCAGTTTCTTTTTAATCTGTACATGTTGCTGAAAACAGCAACAAAATTAAAAAAGAAAAAATCAGCTATATGTAATACAAAAGAGGAAAACAGGATGGCACTAATCTTACAGAAAAGAAATGCTTAAACGTTGTATCTATAATGTAATCTTAGTTATTTCACCAGTTGGCCTACTTATACTGACACATATACTGATGTAATGAAAGGATTGAAAGAACGTGGTTTTGCATTCCAGCTTTAAAGACAGTACTACAGAGAAATTACTGGGATTCTTTTCTTTGGCGAGTTTCATAGAAATACTTTCACAGGGCGAAATGATGAATGAAATTCTTAGGAAGCTGTCAAATATCATGGCAGTTCTTTGATGCTTGTTTTCTTCTGTGTTATTGGTTCAAAGTACTGGCCTTTCTCTTCATTTCTGGTAATTAGTTGTTATAGACTATCACTTTTTAAATGTGAATGAAAATTAGATAATTTGGTTATACTTGTGAAAACATGCTCTCAAATAAATTCAATTAATGGGCACTTCCCTGCTGAGATTTTGTTATCATTCATTTAATTAGCTTGTCAAGCTTTATTGTTATGACAGTAGTTTTGGCTTTTTAGTCAATAAACTGAGGTAACTTCTCCGGCAGCCTTATACCTTTCCTGCACTTGATATACAGCATACACTTCAAATTTCCATCAGAAATCTCTTAAGAAATCTCCTAGCGATGTGAAACATTTGGTAACCAACTTGATTATTTTTCATAAGCATTCTGATTTGATTTTATTCTGGCACTTTACCGTATTTGCATGGGGGCCAGAAATCAATTCCATCTGAAAAGAGTTGCAGCGCCTACAGGCGGGAATAACCGTGTGCAGGGAAGGAGAGCATTCTTCCTGCGGTTATACTTATGAACATTGCCATCTATCTTACATTTGCAAATCCTAAAAACTCAATTTAAAATGTGTAAGATGACCATGTTATACATTTCCAATAAGAAAATTTTATTTAGAAAGGTCTTTTGTTGCATTTAGTTTGATTTTTGTATGTCATCAAATAAGTCCAAATGACTCCTGGAAAAGAGGTGAATTTTTGAAAAGCAACAATTATATAATGGTTTTTAAGTGTAGAAATTTGAATCTCCAACAAACTTTAATTTTTTTTCCAAAAGGTAATTTTAATTTAAAAGAAGTCTGAAGTTATTAGGGACAACTATAAATAAGATAGGTAGATAATTTTTTCTTGTCAACTATTATATGTACCATATAGTACATATATCCTATGCACTATATCATTCATAGGATATTTTTAATGGCACTTTCAGACTCATATTTACAAATGACATTGTATACCTCCCTACATATGTACAAATGTGATAGAATTTAGTCCTCTATGGAAAGTCAAGCCAAAGTACTAGCTGTTTTGTGTTGAAATGAATGATAACAATTATAGCTTTAAAGAAATGTGTAAAGGCACAGTAACAAAACTCAGCAGGTGAAATTAAAGCAAAGGGACTATTTTTGAATGCCATTTCCAGAACTGATATCTGTATTAAACGGTATGTTTAAAAGGATTTTAGTGTTTTTGATTTATCTTTCTCTGCACTCATGTCATTTAGCAAATTAATGGGACATATGTCATTTTTTTGTAAAAAGAAAAAAGGAAAGCCACTGGGTTGTCACAGTTCAGTTTGCATCTGGACAGCCATGGCTTTCATTACAAACAGGTTTACTATCATGAATAAATATCACCATGTTTTCCAAGTTGTGTTGACTATTTTTAAACTCAGAAATAATTTCTTCTGTTTGACACAAAAGCATTTCTAAGATAAATGTCCCCTTGCAACTTCTTTGTATTGCCCACACATGTGCTGACAGTTCTGATTTCATGGAAACAATGATATTTTATGGTCTGTTCACCTCTTGGTGAAAGCCGGGAAAGAATCTGGAGAGAAAAGTTTGGGAACTTGGATATAGTTGTTACACAGCTTGTCAGAAAAGACAGAGGAAAAGAGGGAAGAAATGACGGAGAAAAAAGGAAGAAAATTTTGCAGTTTTTAATTAATGACTTCTTGCTTCCATATAGTTTTTTTTTAATTTTTTATTTAAAAATTTTTTGTGGGGGAAGGAAGTAATTAGGTTTATTTATTTTTTAATGGAGGTACTGGGGATTGAACCCAGGACCTCATGCATGCCAAGCATGCACTCTACCGCTGAGCTATACACTCCCCCTTCCATATAGTTTTTTAAGCAGAGATGTATGACAGTTATATTAAAAGAGGGCTAAGAGATTTAAATAAATCCCTTTAAACCATAATCTATTGTCCTTGGAGAACAAGATTAATAATATTTAGAAAGGGGCAACAAATTTAATCCTTGATCCAAGTCTTGGTCAAATTGTGTCACTAGAAACAAACAAAATTAAAATCTAGAGAGTTATATTTCTAATTTTGTGTACTCTAATCAATAATGATCTTGGTAGAGAAGACTAAGTGAAGCATGAGCATCTCTCATCTGAATGTAGCCCCAAATAAAAGTACAGTGAACGAATAGGACATCACAGAATGTCCTTTTACATGGTATGAAGATCAGTATTTCCAAACTGCTAAGCAGAAGAATTGTCATTGTTGTGCTGGTCTCTGTGGCCTTATAGAACCATCAGTACCAAATAAACTGTTCAAAAATACCTTCTAAGAATCTCAGTTTCCCCAAAAGGATTGTGATGTTCGTAAGATTTGATGTTGTTTTGTAGGATTGCATTTGTTCACCACATTTTTACATTTCCTTATGTTACAGAATGTTATTTTTTGAGTTCAAAAAAAAAATCCCAAATATGTCTTGTAAATGTTTATTTCTAAGCAATATTCTCTAATGGAGTGCCATAATTTGAAGTACTTTCTACTGCCCACAATCCTGGAGAGCTGCCTTGAATCTCCCCTTAAACATTTCTATTTCTCTCCTAACAATACTCATCTTCACTCTCAGAGCTGACTCCCTCTGTATTACAGGAGATCTTCCCATCCATTCCTGAACCTTCTATTTCCATGCCCTCTCCCATTATTGTTTAAGCCTTCTTCTTCAAGGGTGTGGAATTTGTAGGGAAAGTCTTATGGTGATTTAAATAAGTGGTGCTTCAGGCACTTTAGAAGCTTGGGACCATCAATCAAGCAATGGGAGGAATTTTTAGGCAGCCATTCACTCAGCAAGTAGTGCCCAAGATGTGCCAGACCATGTGCTGGGTGTTGGACACGAGCCAACTGTACAACTTACTCAGTAACATACAACTATTGCCACGCTAAGAATAGGTTTAAACACTTCAACTACTTAGATCACCTTTTGTGCTATCCATTATACCAAATCACTGTGATGTGTACATCACTGAGATGTGTATAATGTATTTGATACATCTCAAAATAGTAAACATAAAACAACATTTGTTTAGTTTACAGCAATATTAGTTGAATTCTATTGAGCAAGTCTATTAACAAAGGCAAGTGTATATTAATCCTCCCCAGTTATAAATATGGCCATACCTGAAGTCACTCTACATTAGGCCTAGATAAATCATGGACTATGAAATAATCAGATTAAAGCTCATCTGATCCAACCACTTAACTGATTCCTTAACCCTCTACTACAATCCTAATACATGGTTGTGAACCCTATTATTGCACAATACCATGGGTCTGAAATTCTAAAGCAGCTGCCTACATTTGGGACCATTTGGAATTTCTTCCTTATGTTGATCTACTATTCTTTTTTTTCCCCCTTAAGGGTCCTAAAGTCTCCATCATCTGACTTCCTTTTAAATATTTTAAGACAGCTATTATATCTTCCATAAGTCATTTTCTTCCCAAAGGAAAATTTTCTATTTTCAGTACACCGTTCTGAATACTGTTTTCTGAGTATCGTCTGAAACATGCTTTCTTAGGAAGCATGATGTCTAGAGTTGAACATAATAAATACTTCAAGTATAGGTTGATCTTTACTTAATAGAGCACTGCTATTGAATTCTTCATTGTAGAAACTTTTTTTAAAAATGTAATCTACGAGAAGATTGCCTTCTTTGGTGGTCAGTCATAGCACACAAGTAATTCAGATTGAGACCAACTAGCTACTAAAACTCCCTAAAATTTTACACAAATAACCGTGAAGCAAATTCTACCTTCATCCCATCCTTGATAATTTGAGTTTTACCTCATCTTTTGGAAATTGAACACAAATTCCACCTCATTAGATTCAGCATGTTGTTCTAGGCTATGAAGATCTTTCTATCCATCTGAGAGGAATGAAATCAATTAAAGTGATAAACATCCTTTCTCTCTCTACCCATTAACAAAAAACCTTATGCAGAATCACGCTGAGGACAGAACTCTGAAGTTACAGTAATAGATGTAGTATATAAAGTTCTGAAACCAGCAACACTGGCATTTGTTGAGCACTTACTATATTCCAGATTCTGTATCACACCCCGCAACGAACCACTACATACCACTCTCAAAGAACGTATCAACAGTTGTGGAAATACTTTTTCATTAATTCATTCTTCCCGAGGTACTTATTAAAGATCTATTACATGTGAGTCACTGAGCTCTTTGTAAGGGATAGAAAAGGGACTAAAATATAGCCTTTGTTGATCTATTACTATCAACTAAATGATTAATTCTTCATTTTGTCTACACACATATCTGGAGGCATTATCAGATAAGTTTGAAGAATCTATTTTCTTTCCTTTAAAATATCTGAGTGACATCATAGTCATCTTTAGTTAGAAAATTGGGATAATCACTCCAGACCTTCTATTTAAAGATTTCTTAGTTGCTGGAGCTTATATTAAATAATGGAAGATACCACAAAAAAAGAATATGGTTCTGTTACTTTCCCCAATTTTTACCCTAACCATATGTCATACTTAAAGTGCTGATTTCGGTTGGGCAAGTATACTCTGCAAATGGGATTGCTTAGTAGAAAAAGTAATTCATGGACAAGGTAAAAAAGTCCAAATAAGATAAAATATTTTACAGTGAAAAGTAAACATCTCTTTCACTTCAGATACCAATTCCTTAGCCTCCTTCCTCAGAGACACTGACACTTACTCATTTGTATATGTATATATATATATACATATATATATATATTTCTACAAACGTTCCATTCACATATGAACATGTGCAAATGTGTATTCTCTATTATGTAAGTGGAGGGCATTGTATGCATATATTCTTAACCCATCTGAAAATTCTCCATGGGAGCACACATGTCTGCTTTACGAGATAATTCGAGTAAATAAAATATCTCAATTTATCCATGAATCCAAACTATTCTAATCAAAATTACAGCAGAGTATATTTGGTTGGTTTGTTTGTTTTCAGAATTTAGATGAGTAAATGTCAAGAATGACCAAGATCATTTTGAAGCAAAAGACGAGCAACTACTTTACCTACCATATTTCAAGAGTTATTATTAAGCTGTTGTAATTAAAACACTGTAGTATCAATTCAGAAAGAGACAAGTGGAGAATAGCCATGAACTCATAAACAGGCCTATGAAAAAGGAGGAATTTGGTGAATACTAGAGTAACATTACACATCAAGAGGAAAGGAAAACTCTTCAGCTAAAACTGGCTGTCTAAATGATGGAAAATTATCTCTATGTCATACTACAAAAATTAATCCCACATAAATTAAAAATATAAACATGAAAAGCAAATTTTAAATGTTTAGAAGAACATGTAAGAAAATACTGTCATGTCTTTGAAGTAGGGAAGAATTTATTAAATAAGAAATAAAACAACATAAACCATAAAAGAAAGGACAAGAAATTTTTTAAAATCTCAATACATCAGATAATAAGATTTTGTTGATGATGCCAAGCATATACTGAAAATAAATGTTTATGACACATATAATAAGAATATGTGTTAAGAATAAAAAAATGACAACCCACAAGAAAATGGAGCTGATTAAATATTGTGATTTGAAAACATGCCTTTGTTTCTTCCCTCTCAATAATCCTCACAAAAGTATAAGAGAGATTAAAAAATACATAAATCCATTACAACAGAAGAGTAGAAGAAGAGATTACAGATTAGGATTTCTAAAAAGTTTTTAGAAGATAAGAATTAGATATACTAAATGACATTAAGGAAATAATGCAGCTTGTAAATGACAACATAAATCAAAATTAGAAAAGTTAAAAGGCACTTTAATAAAACTTGAGAATTATAAATAAAAGAAGCCATGATTTTAGAAGTGAAGATTAAATTGAAAAATACAGAAGACCAAAGAATCCTACAAGAAACTTTAAAAATGCCTGAAGAGAAATAAAAGGTATAAAGGAGGAAAAGTCCAAAAGTAAAAAAGATAAAAAGGAAGAAGAAAAAGGACTCAAGTGTAAATGAGAAATAAGTAGACAAAGAAGACTCAACAAATGTGTTTATGGAATCATCAAAAAAGAAAAACAAACCAGAGAACAAAATAAATACAATGAAAACTATAATTCTAAAAAGTTTCCTCAATATAGAAAAAGATTTGAAATTATATTTGAAAGAATCCACTGAGTATCTGAGAAAACTGATTTAAAAATGACCAAGAGTAAGACATATTCTCGTAAGATTATTGAATATCAAAGGAAAACACTTCTTAGGTTATTTATACCCAGGCCAAAAGATCAAGTCTCTTATAATGGAGAATCTCATAATATAATTAATCACCACACTTTTTGAAAATAATGCTTTATGCCAGAAAAAAAATCAAGTAGCATATGTAAGATGCTCAAGGAAAGAGAATGGGACTCAATGATTTTTATATTCAGCCATAAACTAACTTTACTTAAGATACAAATATGAAGGTCATAGACAAAATGTTAATGACATTTAGGAGCTCAGGGAATATTGTTCCCATGAATATTTTCTGAGAAATTTACCAGAAAATGACCTTCAGACAAACAGAAAAATGACACTGATGTAAGGACTGATGATGAACATCATTATATTTACTCAAAGAGCTATGACCAAATGAAGGTTATAAGGTGGAGAGGACATTATACAATGGCTTTGACAATGTAGACGTAGCACAACTATAAAAAATGTGAGGAGAATAGGGAAACATGTAAAACTTTTAATTACTTTCAGTAATCGTATTGGTGTTGGTTATAGTGTGATTACTACACTGAAACTTTGCATAATGAGGGGTACAGCAAATGAGAAGTACTGTGCTATGCTAATTCTG